ATTTTTTTTTTTTTTTGCTTAATTAGAATTTTAGTTTCTGTTCCTCGTTTTTTGCAATGTATGAAAACTTAGAAGCTTAGCTAACATTTTTTTCCTTTGGGGGGCAAGGGGAGTAGAAGGAGAGAATAAAGGTGCCATTCTTTTTGGAACATATATAACTTTAAAATAATATGCAAAGTCCCATATTGCAGCAAAAAAGACTGTTACATGGCTCATTTTTACTATTATGCTTAAACCTGGATAGAATTCTTTTGTTCCCTAGGAAATCAGTGTAAATGAAATTTGATGATCAGATTTAGAAGCAATTTAAAACTACCGAAGCTTTGAAAATGTTCCCAAGCATTATATTTTATATCAAGCATAAAGAGAAGGTAGAGAGTAGGAAAGTCTTACTAAAGATCTAGAAGCACTAGTTAAGACAACAACAAAAAAGACTCATTCTCTTCAAAGCTCAAATCCCTCTTGAATTATTTATTTATAAGCATTAACTTCACTATCTTTTCCCTAGGGGATTACTGGACTCTGTAGCTGAGATCAAAGGAATATCGACACTCATTTTAGGTAGCAGATTTAGCTGAATTCAAAGCATTCTTGAAAATGTGCAGAATTTCTTCTACAGTAAATACAAATGTATTTATCTGCAATATCCTGCAATTATAATAGTAATAATAATTTTAGTTAAACAGCTCTTTGTGGTAGTTTTTCCAAGATCTTTATTTTCAAGTCTTGAAGCCTGTGGTGAATAATTAGTTTAGGTACTTCAAAAATAAAATCAATTCAGACAATAAAGTTGAACTAGGTTTCTATCCTATATAATTAATAACAAAAAAATCCAAATCTTAATTGCTTTGTTGGATCTGGGAATGTTTGTTCTTTGAGGCACCCTCCTAAATTCAGTTAGCTGGGAAGATAGGTGGTATTTTATGCATTAATTTATTATATGACCAGGACAAATTTTGTTTTGATTTGCTTTGCTGATCTTTCCCATGGCTGGGCAGCTCTTTCCAGCACTAAGTCACAAGCACAGAAAGACCCACCCATTCCTCTAAACTGTGACCTTCCCATGGGCTCAGGAGTGGGAAGTCTGTCATGGACTTTGTGTGGTAGAAATCAACTTCTTTTCCTCTGTAGAGAGGCATCCAAAAACAAGAAGGAAGGGCAGATGATACCTTGCTTTATTTTTTGAGTTAATAATGCTGATAGGCACCAATTTTAATCCAATATGTGTGCCAGCACTGTGCTGAGTGACTTGTGTGCATCAGTTACACAAGAAATAGTTACTCATTGTATGAAAATTAGGAAATACAGATATGCATTTTATATGTATCTGTATGTCTGCTAGCCAAAAATAATCACTGTTAACATTTTTGGTAAATATTTCCTCAGACCTTTCAACATATACGTATTTATTTGTATGTTTATTATCTTAATCCTTGCAACAACTTTGGAAGGTAGGTGAGTTAGCTTCATTTTATGTTGCGATCAAGACAAATCAGTTAGATTATAGCTAAGGAAATGGTACTGTCTGTCATCTGACGCCAGAGTTTTTCTGTTTACCTTTCTTAGTTCCAACTCATAGTTTCCAGTGATTTGAGTCAGATGTGGGGACAGTGTCTTCCCAGCCTCCAGGGGTGCTGAATTACCTTTCCCGGTGGCATGCTCCGTCCCCTAGTCCCTCCTCTTCTGTTCATTTTGAACTGTGGGTCTCTTTCTCCCAGTCCCCTTTACAAAAACAGTTAATTTATAACTGATCCACAGATACAACAGGACAGCCTACTGTAAAATAACTTTTTAAAAAATATGGATATTTTTACATAGGGTGCTTCTCATATTTAAGGAAATGTTTTCTGTAAAGAACAGTTAAAATGTGATTGCACATCTTATTTTTGCATTGACATATTTTTTGAAAAATTCTTGATCTGTTTTAGACAGCAAAGTAAGTTTGTCATGAGAAGAAGGGGTGGTCAGTATGCACTGAGAAAAAAGAACTAGGAAATTTCAAATTTCTGTTTGTGTTGATTGAGGTATTAATATTAAAACCTCTCTCCTGTTTAATCCTGTTGTGTTTGCGTTTAGAAGAACACAGTTAAATGGAGAATGTCAGTTTTTTAAAATTTATTTTTGCTTTGATAACTGAAACCAAATAGGAATATTGTGGCAGATTTAGAAGACTGTTTTCAGAAGAACGGCTTAGTAGACATAGAGCCGAATTAGTATCTTGGTTATAGGGCTGGTCTGAATACGAGTCATAAATCCACATCATAATCTGAGTTAAATTGTGAAAAATTATCTGCAACTACCTCTACATTTTATGCTTTTGTATAAATAATACTGAGGATGTAACACTGCCAGGTGCCGTTTTTATTGTTACTGTTACTTAAAAAAAAATTATATCCATACTGTGACATTTCAACCAAAATCATGTATGTGCTTTAGCAAAAGTGCAACTGTCCGGCAGGTATTCACTACAATAGAGCATGCTGCCTTTGCAGGTGATCCCATGCCATGGTTCATATAAAAACACTAAAACTTTGTTTGCAACGTTTACATTTTAAGGTCAGTGTAATGTCATGTAAGAAATTTTCTAGTCCTCCTCACATGATTCTAACAAATATGCCAAGCCCATCTGTCAGTTGGGATGACATAGCTGCATAATTCAATTTTCTATATTCATGTGAGTGACGGGCTCTTAAAAACAATAGATGGTAGCAGTTTTGTTGTTGTTGTTTTTTAATTATAAATCTCAGCGAGGGAGGAACATTGATTTGAGAAAGAAACATTGATCTGTTCCCTTCTGTACATGCCCCGATAGGGGATTGAACCTGCAACCTGGGTATGTTCCCCGACCGGGAATCGAACCCAAGACCTTCTGATGCACGGGATGGTGCTCCAACCAACTGAGCCACGTCGGTCAGGGCTGTAGCAGTTTTTTTAGAAGCCATAACATTTGAAGAGGTTAACAGTATTCAGGATGTTTATCCAACAGAGCTTATCCTTAAGATTCTTGGTTAGTATGGCCAGTCTGAATGTGATTCATAAATACACTTCAGCTATTTAAACTATTTGTTATATTGCTTTTTTCCAGTTTAAACTTTCCCTATGTTAATTCACCTTTCCCTATGTTAAATCACTTCCTGATCTACAAAGGAATAATATGAAAAATTTCTAGCATAGATTGGGTCTCTGGTGTTTCAGTTAGATCATTGTTAGCATTAACTTGTCTATGTCCTGAAGCTCAGATTTCAAATGCCATTAAATCAAATGACCTCACTGAGATGAAAATTTACAGTCCTATCAACAAAAATTTGAGCACCTAATATCTAGACACAGAGAGGGTACAAAGATGTATAAGTAGTCCCTGCTCTCAAAGAATTCATAGAAGATACTGTAATAAAAGTGTCATTTTATTTTTGAGAGCCAACAAAAATTTAAAAATACAAACTCTATGCCAGTACTGTTTTGCATAGCTTCCCAAACTTTGTACTCATGTTATTTAGCCATTGAATATGGTGATTTGC